CCTCGCAGGGCCAGGGCTCCACGAGCTCTATCTGGGTCACCTTCCATTCCCGCCTCTCACCCTGCGGAGGCTGAGCTGGAATCAGGTTTCCCGGACGGTTTAGAGAAACCTCCCCGGACTGGTGTAGGCCCCAGAAGCGAGTCCGGTTCTGTTGGGTGAGTCTAAGCCAATTTACCAAAACCAAACCAAGAGAAGGGTCAATGTCACACCCCAGGACAAAACGTGGCATCCTGTGACTGAGGCAAAGGCTGTCAGCACCTTCCTGCATTTCCGCCCAGAATGTTCCACTGGTCCCAGGCGGCCCGCTTCAGCGCGGCCGGGCGGGAGCAGTGGGCCCGAGCGGGCCCGGGGTCAGGCCTGCCTTTGATCCCGGGTCACCTGGACCAGCCGTGGACCTTCTGCTTTTTGGAGCCTCAGTTCCTTCATCTCATATTCTTAGGGTCACTGTGAGAGTGAAGTGAGATCATGTTCACAGAAGCTTCCAGCTCATGGCCGAGCTCAGCGCCGCCAGACGCTTGCCAGCGTGCCCGTCTGTGTCATGATGGAGCTCCTGTCCCAGGCCAGGCATTGGGCCAGGCTCCAGCACTTTATTAAGGAGCTGGAAAGACAGTCCCTGACTCACAGGATTTATGGTTTAGTGAGGAGGGCGGACATTAAACAAATAAACTCCCACATAGATCACCGCTGCCCGAGCTAAGGCCGGGACAACGTGCAACAGTGAAGAGCGTCTCAGGTCTCTTGGTCCAACCCAGGGAATGAGATGAGTGACTTTTGACTCTGCAGCTTTTGTAAATAAACCTGTGGAGAAGGTGCATGTGTCATTCCAAAATAGCTCCTTATTTTCCCAGTTGCTGCCATTTTACTCAGAGCTGCAGGCCTACTGACTAGGGTGGCGCGCTCCTGAGGGAGCTGAGAGAACCCTTCACCACACACCGGACGTGCCCACCCCCCACCTGTGGCCCCCTGCGGGCCTCTGACAATGGGAAGAGCTGTGCCTGAGGCAAGAGCGAACGGGACGGACGGTTGGCAGAGCCCAGGCCACGGGCCCCCAGGACCCTGCAGACCCCAGAGGCCTCCCTTACTCCACAAACAGGGCGTGGGGCGGAGTGAGACAAACTAGATGGGTTGGTTGTTAGGATGATTAATTTTGTGTCAGCTTGGCCATGGGGTGCCCAGATGCCTGGCTCCCATGACATCTCCCAGATGAGGTGAGCATGAGAATGGAGGGACCGAGTACAGCAGTGGGGTACGGGTACAGTCCCCTCTGCTGAGGTTCTGAATAGAACAAAAAGGCGGAGGGAGGGAAAACGGACTCTCCGCCTGACCGTCGGAGCTGGAACACGGATCTTCCCCTGAACTGGGAGAGCCCGTCAGCTCTCAGCTGCCGGTTACATCACGGGCTCCCCTCGGTTCTTGGGTTTTCCGGCTTGGACTGGAACTACAACACCAGCTTCCCTGGGTCTGCAGCTGGCAGACAGCAGATCGCAGGACTGCTCAGCCTCCATAATCGTGTGAGCCAATTCCTTGTCATATATATTGGGTAATACATGTCGTATATATGAATGTGTGTCCCGTTTCTCCAGAGAACCCCAACACAGCTGTAAAACCTTTCGATCTAACTGCCGGTGTGCTGTGTTGAGGAGCCTTCAGGCCTGAGGCAGACGCAAGAGAGGGAAGCCAGGAGGCTGAGATGTGAGTGGAGGGAAACAGAGTACCATGAGCCACGGGCCCCACACAGGAGGAAAGACGGAGGAGAAATCCAGGTGGGAGGCTCCGGGTGGGGCAGTCAGGGCAGAGCTGCCAGGCCAGGTGCCCGAGCGCCATGAACAACTCTCCCACTCCAGCTAGAGGAATCCCTGGGAGAAGACCGAAGATGTGGATGGGAGGCCAATGGAAAAGTCCAGAAGCAGCAGCCGGCCTTTGTGTTCGGGAAAATACATCAAGGACTGGGAGGAAAGGGGATGAGTGCCTTGTGAGGCAGCGAGCATTCTGTTGCTCCAAGTGAACCATGGAAGGGTTCTCTGCTGCAGAAAAGTCTGCCGGTGGCACAAGCTTCGGACAAGGCTTAATCCAGTGGCTCGATGTCAGAATCACCGAATCTTTCTCTCCTCTTTGCCCTCCATGGTGTCGACTCCCTCCAAAGGCTGACCCCTCCGGTGCTCACAAGATAGATGCCGGCGGCCGGGAGCGGCGTGGTCAGTGCCCCTCAAATCACATGGCAGGGAAGCGGCGGGGCAGAGAGCGCGCTGAAAGTTGGGGCACTGCCCCCAACAGCATGGAGACATGGGAGCCAAGTGGCCAAGACTAGCACAGGTCTCCTGTGAGGACCATCCTTGAGGGAGGGCCTCCTGCCCTGACAGAAGGGGAGGGTAGGTGACTTCTCAGGTCCCTTCCAATCTAGGGATCCCGTGGTTGTAAGCAGAGGACACACACTATCTGACACCCAGTGGTTCTGGAGGGGAGGGGGGCAAGTGAGGTACCTCTGGCTTTGGCCCAGGGCCAAATGCTCCCTGCCTCCTCAGGCCAAGGCATGCCTCCAGCAGCCACTTCAAGGTGACCTGACTGGGAGACAGCCTCACTGGCCCCTGGGAACTGTGTTGGTTTCCTGTACTTCCCACATTTCCCAGACCACACTCCTCTTCACTGGGAAGCCCAACTAGGTCACTGCGAAGGCCCTGCAGTACTTGGATGGCTCTCAATTTCCTCCCGCCCCACTAGGGTCCTCTGGGAGCTGGGAGAACTGCAGCTTTCCTGGCATTGAGGATGATAGAAGCCTGAGTCTTCAGACACATGGGCAGCTTCGGGGCTGCAGACAGCACTTCATTCACCTGAGCTTAGCTCGCCATGCTGATGACCACGTCTGGATAATTCCCACAGCAGCAAGAGCTGGGGTGAGGCCAAAGATGGGCCTCTACGTTGGCTTTTAGGTTTGTTTTCATGTTTACTTTTGAAATAATGGCGACCATGTGGGCGGACCTCAACTTTTCCCCAGACCGTGGGCTCCTGGCCTCTCTCCTTCCACACAGAACTGTCCCTGAACACATTGCCATCGGTCACAACCCAAGCCCTTTTCTTTGTTCCCCTGCTCATCGAGGCCCCAACGGGAACACGGACCCTCCCTCGCAGGAGGGGTTGCAAAGCCAGGGTGGGTGCAGGGGCCCTGCTGGTGGACCTCAGATGAGGCCACATCTCCTAGAACAGCAGGAGAAAACTTAACCAGTCCCTCTGCTTGAGCAGGACCCCAGGGCAGGAATGGCTGCTAGAATACTCACATTATATTCATTTCTCTTATGAGAAATGAATTGGGGGGAGGGACGGGGGGGGTTGTGCACATTTAAATAGGATGAAAAACAACCTGTAAAGCCACCATTTTGTTGAACTGGTTTTATTTAAATTTTACAGAAACCTGATTGAAGTATATCATTTTAAGTCCAGTAACAATTCTACAAAAATGTACATACGATGGCCAAGTTCCTTAAAAGCAACTAATCCCATATTCTTGTTTTGCATAAAACATGCATTTATGTCAACTGCCACACGTTGGCCAAAATCCATCTCCACAAGAAGAGACAGTCCGTTGTGGTCAATAGGAAAACTGGTTGTGAACATAGGTTAAAAAAAAAAAGGTTTTCTGGTTAACGTAAAAGAAGGATCAGTACCTTTCGAGAGGAGCCCTTCCGCCCTGGGAGAAGTGTACTTTGTGCGGCCTGGGACAGCACGGCCTCGAGGCACGGCCCTGACCGGTCCTGGGAGCCCGGAACCCTGTGGCAGTTCAAGCCGACGCTGGGGGAGCCAGGACCCTGCAGGCCACCGCAAGGCCTGGCGCAACCCCGCGCAGGACGAGCAGAAGTCCTCAGACTCGGACAAGAGCCCCCAAGCTGGGGCCTGTTCGCCATCTCAGATGCCCCGAGCTTGGCAACCTAGCCTCTCTTCAAGGGCCAGCTCAGGGCGCACAAGCGTCTCCTGTGGCCACAGGCCCTTCTAGCTCCACACAGCACTGCTGGCAGGGACCTGGAATTAAGAGGCTTGACGCAGAAACCCAGGGCTTGGACCATTTCTTTGAGGCCCTGATGGTCTCTGGGCCGAGTTCATCTTATCCAGGGGCTGGTATTTCCCTGTGTGGGTCCACCACTGGACCCACACAGGGAAAGGAATGCACCCTTGTGGCCCCAAAGCCTCCGATGCTTAGAGTCCCATACCTTAAATCATGTCATCTATGGTGGGCAGCGACCATGTCGCTCCCGAGGGAGAGCAACCGAGGGCTCTGTGTTCATCAAAGGTATTTTCCACATCGACTGAGGGCCATCAAGAGATTTCATACCAACTGAAAGGATTTCCGCTCAAATATAGGGTTTTATACAACCGTCCACAAGGTTCTTCAAAAGCAGATCTCATGGTCCTTAGAGAACCAGCTGTGGACGTTAACTTTTATTTACATAAAGCTCATCATTCGTGCAGCCTTGGGCCTCCTTTGGAATCTCTAACACACCGTCTGCCTCTTCCAAAACAGGGCACTCACTGCCCTGCTCACTACAAGTAAGCTAACCAGTATCTTTTCTTCAACACAGATTTTAGGGGGAAAATAATTTATTGGGATTCTAAGAAAACTTTCCTAACAGAACAATATCAAAATAGGTCCGTTTTTACTATACGCTTATGAATATCCCTGATAATATAAAGAAATCCAGAGGACTTTGTAAACCACCAAGATTTCACAGGGTAGTACCCGGTCTGTTTTCTAGGCAGCAGAAGAGGGACTAGTACACTGGCGAGTTTTCCCCAGGAAGTCCTGCGAGCACTACAGTACTGAAGTTCTAAGATTCTAGTGCCAGGAGAATTGTGAACGAAATTTTCACTTGAAATTTATTAGTAAAAATCATAACAAAGGTTGGCTTCCTCAATCCTGCCACCGGCCAACCTCCCTGCCTGTGACAGACATCCAGCCCAGAAAACCATTGGCCCTTGGTTCCACTGGAGGCTGGGCCCAGGAGAAGCAAGTTTCGAGATGCCTCTACGCGGTGACCACACTGGAGAAAGCAGGGATGTGGGAGAAGAGGCAGACCAGGCCTGAGGAAGCGCTGACCCAAGGCACCACGATCAGAGGAGTGGGGGACCTAGTGGGGTTCTGGCGGGCAGGAGGAAGGCTCCTGCCATGCCCCGCAGAGCAGGTCCCGGGACACAACAGCTCTGTGGCAGGGGAGACACGTTCAGGAGTTAAAGAACAAATCATTAGCAAAGAAACTAGTTTACTTCCTCAAACCCAAATCAAACTGCTTAAAACTTCGAGGCAAATAACCTGCGGGTTATTTGGTAGTCGGGTGGCAGGCCTGTGGTCTGCGGAATCAGAGGGTGCGGGTTGTGAAATCAGCACCCGCACTACGGCTACTGTAGCTGAGGAGGAGAGGAAGCTCAAGGCTGGAGGGGAGGCCTCTCCAAGGACAGGCCAGAACAGGACCAGGTGTGCGATACGCCCCTTTTATTCCTGGCACAGTAAGCGGCCTTTGCGGAGGCCCGGAATAGAGAAGGCGCCGTCCCCCATCTAGCTACAGTAGTACTGCATGCCATCCACTCGTCTTCTCTTCTTTGACTGAAATTCTTCAAAGAACTGCTGGATGTCCTCTCTCTTCACAACCTGTTGGTGAAAAGCACACATTAGGAAGGGCCTCTGCATTCCGGAACAGCAATAACCGGTCATGACCTTCACAAACGAGGCAAGCGAGGCAGCCGGTAAGAACGCTTTGAATGTGGAATTGACTACAGTGCTCCATCTCACGGCCGCGGGCCTGCTCGGGGCCACACAGCCAAGAAGAGCAGAGCAGTGCCGACTTGGGCTTCCTCCCACGAAATGAGACAAAAGCAGCACCTAGCTAACGGCGTCGCTGGAAGATCAGATCAGATTTGATGCCAATAAAACACTGCCTCTTATTAAGAACACTGCCTTAAGTAAGTTCTTAATAAACATTAGTTGCCGGCGCCTGGGGGGCTCAGTCGGTGAAGCTTCTGCCTTCGGCTCAGGTCATGATCCCGGGGGTCCTGGGACCGAGCCCCAAGTCGGGCTCCCTGCTCAGCGGGGAGCCTGCTTCTCCCTCTGTCCCTCCCCCGGCTCGCACTCTCTCTCTCTTTCTCTCAAATAAATAAATGAAATCTTAAAAAAACAAAACAAAACCACAAACCATTTGTTGAAAAGAAAGTGGCAGAGTCAGCATACACTGAGCACCCGGAGATCTCCCAAGACCACTGCCCTCTCTTGTGACCACAGCTGTCTCTTGGGAATGTCCTTCAGCTCTGTGTGAGTGCCCAAAGAAAACAAAGTCTGTTTTGCCTTGAGACTTGTGTTTTCTTCTTTACCAAAAAAAACTCTGCCCTCTTCATGAGTCCAAAATCAGAAATGTTTGCTATGTAAAAAGAATAATTGGCCAAAAATAAAGAAGCACTACACTTAGTAAATGGAATATCCATTTTATGCAATGAGACATTTATCTTCCATTTCATTGGAAAAAGGATTAGAGCATCATACAAAGGTGTTTATGATATTAGCAAAGTAAAATGTTAGAAATAAGAAAATAAGACAGAGTGACAAAATGGATGAAAAAGTAAAGTGGGACCACCTGGAAGGAGTCCCTGCTCACCCCAAGAATGTCTAGCCAGCTGATCTGACCTCCAGCTGATCTGAACTAACTGCCCCCTGAAATCCATCAAAACAGGTTTGTGAATTTACTTTTTAATTACAAAGGTAACATATTGTTATGAAGGAATGGCGGTGGGGCAGGGAGAGGGAGGGAAAGAGAAAGAGAGAAAGAAAGCCTGGGAAATGCAGGTAAGCAAGAGGGAGAGAGGGGGGAAAGGTTAAGTGGATAAATACTTGCATATAAAGTGAAACTGTCCCCCTCACTCCCCAAGGGTAAGTGCTGCTAACTACACAGCCATGCCAACTTGGATGACTTCCTGGGGTGAGGTAAGATACTTAGTAGTCCTCTATGTGGAAGAACAACACAGACTAGAAACTGATACACCAGCTTCACAAGCACCAATGGTGAAACAGCTGGTCAACCAGTGAAGAATCAGAACTGGTAACAGATGCAGGATCTAGGTGGCTAATCCACTCCAGACGCTGAAACTCAAAGCTCTATTGTATTTGCTGAATGGCTTGGAAATTCACCCTTACAAAAAATGCTAATATATAGGACACTTAGAAATTCCAATTTGAAGGAACTGTCCCTACAGTGGATCACCAATACTAAACACTGAAAGGCAATAAAAGAAATTTTCCTGCAAGGATGTTGGGAGAGGTGACCTAACAGCACGAAAACAGAGTGTGCAATCTTAAGCTTCTAGACCCTCAAATGGTCACAGCCAACATGCAGAGTAAAAATGTTAAAGAATAAATACTGGGGATCAATAATAAATCATCTTATTGGTTTTTCTCATACATTTTGTAGCTTCTAAGTATTCTTTCTTTTATAGTCAGACACAAACATAAAATAAAAGGCAGTCCCTCATCTGAGAACATCTAGAACTTACCTGTACAAATACAACCAAAGCAGATTAACCTTATTGCAGCTTAAGGTTCTTATTTGTTGTTGTTTTTTTAAGGTTCTTATTTGTTTTTGTAAAGATCTAGTTACTAATGTCATGGAACAAACAATAAAAAATATTTTGTCTTTTTAAATCATCACATCAGATAAAAAAATTACCTTAGACTCATAAAAAGCGGCCCTAGTGATGACAGATTCTATGTTGAGGATACAGGTGAAGACTTTGAATAAAATTGCTTGTTCTTTCTTTTACGTGATTTCAAGTGTGTGTTATAAAACCAGTAAAGAGCCTTGTGACCACAAAATGCACAAGAGCAGAAGGTTCAAGAACACACATGCTTTGACACATTTGAAAGACTGCAAATGTCCGTGAACAGCGCAGAGGTTGAGAGACACCTGAAACTAATATAACATTGTGTGCTAATTATACTTCAATAAAAAATAGTTCCAAGGTTAAAATAGTTACACCTGTGAACTTTCTTCATTATTATTATTTTTTTAAGAGGCTCCACACCCAGCATGGAGCCCAACGTGGAGCCCAAACTCATGACCCCGAGATTAAGACCTGCAGTGAGAGTCAGATGCTTAACCGACTGAGCCACCCAGGAGCCCCATGAACGTTCTCAGTTCTAGCAAGAGAGAAGTGTGAGTCTACATTAACCAAAGGAACAGGAATAACTGTAGTTAAAGCGCTGCTGAGAGGCAGGAGGCTGAGAATGAAGAACATTCTCTAAGAAATGAGAATACTACTACATAGAAAACTCTTAACTTTTGACTTTACAACTCATTTTGCAGAAAGGCAGCACTGTGACCCTGTCCAGATATGCAGGCAGCTCCAAGTTCTTGCCGCCTTTAAGAGCAAGGAGAAAGTGGTCTCTAGCAGGCTGGCAAAGACTCCTCCCAACACAGCAAGTCTCAGCACACTTCCTCAGCAGTGGCCAGAAACACACCTGACTTGATTTCTGTGTCTGGACACAGCAGACCAAACCGTCCACAAGGACAGTGTTAGGCCAACAAAAAAGTTAAATTTTGTTTTATATCTGCCTGTGGAGGATAGAAAAAGTACTTCAGAAAAGACATTCTGTCACAAATGTATGAACAGTAAAGAGCTAGGAAGTATTTGTAAATTCATCTGGAAGACTATTTTAAATATTACACATTTTAGAATCAGTGTCACCCTTAAAAGTATATAGTCTCGGGCGCCTGGGTGGCTCAGTTGGTTAAGACACTGCCTTCGGCTCAGGTCATGATCCTGGAGTCCCGGGATCGAGTCCTGCATCGGGCTCCCTGCTCAGCGGGGAGTCTGCTTCTCCCTCTGACCCTCCTCCCTCTCACGCTCTCTCTCATTCTCTCTCTCTCAAATAAATAAATAAAATCTTTAAAAAAAAATAATAATAAAAAAAAGTATATAGTCTCTCTTACTAGCAAGAAAAATGTTCTAGCCCCAATTTTGAAGTTCTTTTATTCTAAACTATAGAATCCAAAATCCAAAAAGAGGGGTCTGGCATTAGTTTTTCCTTGCCTGATCATTTCTCCTTCCTCCTCCAAGGATCTCTGCTTGAATGTCAGGATGGGCAGAATCAGAATGGCTGACGTCCTGGCCTGCTCCTCAGCTATTCAAACTCTCTCCAGACTGTATGTGGCCGCTCTGCCCCTCATTCCCTCTGGCGCAGGGCTGCGAAGAACTCCCAGCATGGCCAGGCCCCTTCTTCCCCCACCTCTCACTGATTTCCCTTAGTTCTGCCTGCATTCACCACCCAAGTATCCAGTTTAAGATACACGGTCATTTCTTCATCCAAGAAAATAGTTCATTCAGAACATACAGGGCTACGATTAAAGTTAACTCAACATACCGTGCCTTCATCAGCAAATCTCTTGAGATAGTCTTTAAGTTCAGTCTTCAAGTCATTGTATTCTAAATCAAAACAACAAAAAAGGTAGTAAACTTTAGACAAGTCATTTGCTTTTAGAAACAAAGTACTTCTTTCCCACTAACATTTGCGTAGGTTAATACTTTAAACTTTTCTCTAAGTGAAACATGCATAGAAACTTGCTCCCATGGGGTGCCTGGGTGGCACAGTTGGTTAAGGGTCCAACTCTTGGTTTCAGGCTCAGGTCATGATCTCAGGGTCCTGGGATCAAGCCCCGCATCAGGCTCTGCGCTCAGCACAGAGTCCACTTGAGATTCTCTCGCCCTCTCCCTCTACCCCTCCTGCTCATACTCTCTCTCTCTAAAATAAATTAATTAATTAAAAAAAAGAAAGAAAGAAACTTGTTCCCAATTTCTCCCAAGTTCTTTCGTTTTGGTATCTAGGACCCTACTTCTTTAAAAAACAAACAAACAAACAACAACAAAAAAACTCAAAAAAAAAAAAATCCTCAGGCCCAAAAAGATTAGCTAAGAATTTTTTAAAGGGCTTCCTATCTCTCCGGAATCCTAGTAGTTGAAATAATCTTGGACTTGTCAAACATTAAGTTTTAAAACTCATTCACTCACTTAATAGTTTCTATTATGTATGAGGCACCCTGAGGCCTACAAAAATCTTTCAGATGCAGCCTCCATCCTTGAAAAGCTTTTAGTCTAATAGAGGCAAAGGAAATTCATCAAACAGTTAAAAATAAAAGACAGAAATGATCACTGCCACCGAGGTGGTGGCATCGAGCAGAGACCGGCTGGGATGGAAATGACCAAAATCAGTTGGGCATGCAGGGGGAAAATCTGTAAAGGCCTGCCATGAAGGACTTAGGGATATTTTCCCCTCTGGTGGTTTCCTGGAGCAACCTGAACGACTGTCAAAAAGAGGACCTGTAATGTTCAATGAAAACTATTTCAATGGATGGAAAAAGATATTGATTTTCTATTACTCTTTACTCATACATCTACCATGAATCAAAAGCGCACATGTCAAGGTTTCTCAAGCACGTAATGATTCTAGCCCGTGACTCTTGACTCCGGTAACAATGGCTCAATACCCAGCAACACTATAATTAGGCAAGTGTAATTGAAGGCTACTTTGTAATTCCAATTTTAAACTTTGTTTGTATTAAATGAAAACAACAGGTATTAGTAGTCCTCCCTATACATATTTTAAGAGTGAAGGAAACCTTATGAACTTCGTGCATTTTTGTTCAATCAGCATTTACCGCAAATAAGTTCCACTTGCTGGACTCTGTCCATGCTGTTAAGGGTGTCCATTAAAGGGTCTCTCCTGTCAGCTGCCTGGTCGACCTTGCCCTTGTTTTCATAAGCCAGAACTGTGTCATATTCATCAGTCAGGAACAGGACATCTAGCTCGCCATACATTTTCTTCAAAAAATAAAACGGGGTTTCCCATTAGAACTGTATGTCATTCTCAGAAAGTCAACTTCATGAGAATCACTAAAAATTTATTTAATGTTTTTAGATTAACTGCCAGAAAACCTGAGCCTTTAGTACAGAACTGCTTGAGTGATTTAGTCTTCTTACCCAAATCTCTTCTAGGAACCTCCCAACTTCCCAGTAGGTGTTGCATGGTCTAAATAGATCTTTGTTTAAAAACCACAGACTTACTGTAACTTTCAGGCAATTTTTATTTCCAAGCAAATTCTATGACATTTCTATTTTCCACTAAAATGAAGATAAGTAAATAGAAAGTGCTATGTAATTCTGAATTTCTTCTGCAAGCAGACTGCAAGTAGCATTTCATAAATTTGCTTAATATAAAATATTTGAGAGCTCTCTACAGTCCTAGCCTCACTTTCCCAAATATATTTTCCAGATGGCCCTGTCCGAGGCATCAGTCCAGAATAAACACAGTAACAGTGACCCTGACCCAGAACTCACCATACAATCTTTGCAGGTACATAACTTGCTGCGCCAGTTCACGGGCCAATAGGTGGCAGTGTCTTTCTTTAGAAACCGCTGAGCATTAAGCTCTTGAAGTCTGCAGCCAGGCTGTGATTCCGGGTTGAGATGTTGATTCTTAAACGCTGTCTGAAATAAAATTAAATTTTGAAGTGTGTTTTTTACACTATCACAGTTTTCAGAGCTCAGACTGTAGAGAGGAATTTCTTTAGGCAAAGGGTACAGCTGAAATCCAAAGCTACGGAGCTTCCAGCATTAATTTTACTTAAGCTTTCTTTTATGGCTCATACTTCGTATGTTACCTGGAGATCAGATTCAGAACTAGAGCTGGTACATGGTTCATTAGTCTGCTCTGCTTTAACTTCCTTGACAGCATCCTGTCCAGGTTCTGGAACCTCCTCGTTGAGGGTACTATCTTGATGATCTCCATTTTCAGGTTTGATGACTTCCTGATCACCTATTCCATCAACATTCAGCACCAACCCATCATCCTCTGCAGATACTTTGGTTACTGTGGGTTCAATGAAAAGAAACACACACATATCCAGAGGTCCATTGAACAGTGAAATCATTTAGTCTGATTAAAAAATATTTCAGAATCTGGAAAAAGAGAAAGTCAACCTTAATCTCTGGAATAAACAGAAGGGAATTATCAACTCTTTTTTAGGTTATGCCTGCCTAATCCAGAGTTCAAAATAATTGAACAGTTCATTTTTTTTTTAAGATTTTATTTATTTGACAGAGACACAGCGAGAGAGGGAACACAAGCAGGGGGAGTGGGAGAGGGAGAAGCAGGCTTCCCGCTGAGCGGGGAGCCTGATGCGGGGCTCGATCCCAAGAGCCTGGGGGATCATGACCTGAGCCGAAGGCAGATGCTTAACGATTGAGCCACCCAGGCACCCCTGAACAGTTCATTTAAAAATGTCAATCGCAGGCGACCTGACTGGCTCAGTTGTTACAGCATGCAACTAGATCTTACGGTCATGAGTTCAAGCCCCGCACTGGGCATAGAGATTACTTATATAAATACATCGTTGGGGCGCCTGGGTAGCTCAGTCAGCTAAGTGTCTGCCATTGGCTCAGGTCATGATCCCAGGGTTCTGGGATGGAGCCCCTCATCGGGCTCCCTGCTCAGTGGGGAGCCTGCTTCTCCCTCTCCTCCCCACTCGTGCTCTCTCTCGCTATCTCTGTCCCTCTCTCCCAAATAAAAAAAATCTTTAAAAATAAATAAAAACAAATTAAGATGTCAATCACTACTTAAGCACCTTATATATAAAGGAAAAAGAAAAACGCTGCAGATGGTAAAAAGAGGTGGGACACCTCAGGAAGCAAGAAGCAGTGGGAAGAGGTTTAACTGCAAACACAGGTGGTAGGGTAGTTTTGAAAAAACCACCAGCTTTTCTTTATGAGAGGAAGAAATGAAAAAGAATGGATATAGAGGCAGAAATAATGTTAAAAAGAGAAGAGGGGTGCCTGGGTGGCTCAGTTGGGTAAGCTTCTGACTCTTGGTTTCAGTTCAGGTCATGATCTCGGAGTCCTGAGACCTGCGTCAGGCTCTGTGCACAGCACGGCAGTCTGCTTGGGACTCTCTCCCTCTGCTCCTCCCCCGACTTGTGCATTCTCTCTCTCCCCCCGCTCAAATAAATAAATCTTTTATTTTTTTTTAAAGATTTTATTTACTTATTTGACAGAGAGAGACAGTGAGAGCAGGAACACAGCAGGGGGAGTGGGAGAGGGAGAAGCAGGCCTCCCGCTGAGCAGGGAGCCTGATGCGGGGTTCGATCCCAGGACCCTGGGATCATGACCTGAGCCAAAGGCAGACGCTTAACGACTGAGTCACCCAGGCGCCCAAATAAATCTTTTAAAAAAAGAGAGAAGAGGAATGATTAGGGAGCTCGTGTCGGATGATGGCATTCTGATTTAATGGGACATGAGGCCATCTGTTGACAGATGGAAGGAAATGGAGGGAGAGGGGGAGGATCGATGAAGAAAACCCAATGCATGAGAAATAGATACAGGTCCAGGGGAAAGTGAGAGATGTAACTGAAAAGGGTATGAAAAGAAAGAAGACACATCCAAGTTTAAGAACTTTGAGACAAATCAAAAGAGCAGGGTGAGATTTTAGGCATGGCTATGCTGTTTGTGGTTCGTATGGTAAAATGTTCCCTAAAGGTGAGAAGGGCAAGACATTATGAGGTCAGAGCAGCAGACACTATGAGTAACTGCCACTCAAAAAATAAATTAAGTAACACATTTACATTACCAGTAAAATAAAATATTTAATGCCTCAAGACCATTCATTGCTGATTAGTTGTTTCACGCCAATTTCTTAAGTGTATAATAAAAGCACTGGGTAGCAAACTATACCCCACGCGTTCCAACCAATACCATGTCTTCCATTTAAGAACAACTTATTTTGGTTCTATTTATCTTTCAAAGTCCCATTCAAAAACTTCCTCCTCCATTTTCCCTAATTCTGGTCTTATCCAGCCTCTGTGTCATGCTATTTAAGTACAAATTTGTTCTTGTTTGTCTCCCAACCGATCTATAAGCACCTTGTGGAGAAGGAAGGTATCTCACACTTTCCCTATACCTCAGAGTCCCATTAAAAACAGTTGCTAAAAGACTCTTAACCACAGGAAACAAACTGAGGGTTGCTGGAGGGGAGGGGGGTGGGGGGATGGGTAACCGGGTGATGGACATTAAGGAGAGCACGTGATGTAATGAGTACTGGGTGTTATATAAGACTGATGAATCACTGACCTCCACCTCTGAAACTAATAATACACTATAAGTTAATTAATTGAATTAAAAAAAAAAAAAACAGTTGCTAAAAATTCTGGACTGAACACAGAAATGTCAGGAGCCCAGGTCTGTGGCACCCCACCATCAGAGGGACGCATACCTGCCAGCCGTGCAGCATAAGCCCACAAGAAGGAGCAGCGCTTCATACACGCCTGGCACACCATCTCCTGGAAATCGCCACTCTCAGGGGGAATGGCACCCAGATGCTGCAAATACAGGAAACTGAGTGTTTTTCTTGTGGTCTCCAAGCTGTCCAAGATGCTCATTATGTAATCAATAAATACTGCAAAAGAACACTGATCGTATCTTTATAGTTTATTTTTGGAGGAGTAATTATAAGGTAAAATATAACACAATTCAAAAAGAAAAAATCTTTTCTCTTTTTGTGAAGACAGTGGCTTTAAAAGGTAAAAGCTTTCCTTACCCTCCCGTGGAACCAGTCCTCACAGACTACACACTGGATCATTTCATCCGGAATCTAACACAGAAAAGCAGTTTGCATGTTAATGATTACAATGAATTCTGGGACACAGAAGTAAATCTGGCAAACAGTAGAACCAGATACTAAATAATTCTCTACCAATTCTGTGACACTGCTATCCACATTCCAATAGTCAAGGGGACAGGAGAAATAGCAGGTCATGGGGTCAGAGAAGTTCACTCTCCAGGAACCCGTCTGCAGAAGGGTTACATTGAGATGAGCACTTTGGAAGCAACCATCAAAGCTCATTCACTTCCGTTACTTGGCATCTGACTCTCACAAAACTTTGTAAGTAACAGCTTCTCATTTTATCCGTAAATTAAGGCACAGGGAGGTTAGGATGAATTGACCAATGTAGAATGTGGCAACCCCACATTCTTCAACCTCTTCATTTTATTTAAACTGAAAAGTAAATATCATAAACAGCCTTTTGACAATATGGACAGCAAAACTTCCCTAACTTGAATTAGTTAAATAATTAAGTAATTAAATTCTGGCCCCAGGAAAACAATATACCAAAGGGCATAGACCGTTTTTGGAATGGTTTTCCTTTCATTCCCAGGCTTTCATATCTACTGATTAATATCCCAATGTTGTTCTGTCTTTTCCCTATTATAACTTCTTAAAGGGAAAAAAAGCATATATATCTTTATATATGCCCATATATAGACCTATACACACACACATATAAAATATATATATGTAACAGTTTTATTCTTTCTCTGCCTTGACCAATTTATTCAGCATCTTATTTTTGTCTTTTAACAGTGTTATAACACTTTATCCCATACCTTAAAATATCCAGTTTTAAGGTTTCATCTTTGTTAACTCAAAGATATTTTCAACTTGTTCCTCTACATAATTTGGTTCAATAATTACAGTTCCAAAACAACTAGAAAGCAAGGAAGAAGGCAGAAGCCTAATTTTTCTAAACATAAAAGCACTCCTTCATATCAGTAAATACACAAAAAGCCAGTCAAAATATGAGCCAAGAATATGAAAGGACAATTCAGATAGGTTATTAAATATGTCCAATAAACTCATGAAAGATGCATAATCTAACTCATGATCAGGGAAAGGAAATTTTTAAAAGATACTGCTCTTCATCTATCAAGATGGCAAAATTTAAAAAGGCAGCTAATATGTCAGCCTGACAAGAGTATGGGGAAAAAGACATTATCACCTACTGTCTGTGACTGACCTCTTTTGGCAGACATGATCACAACTGTAAATATAAATATCCTATGTCTCATTGGTTCTACATCTGGGTATCCATAAATACTTGCAGGAATATACTCAGTCATATTACTGTATAAGGATGTTCACTGCAGCTTTCTTTATAATACTGAAAAATGAGACACCACCGATCTGCGACAGAACATTTAGGTAACTAACCTACAGCATGTCACATTATGAATACTTGGCTGCTATCGGAACAAGGTGGATTTGGATTTGTGCTGTTTTGCATGCAAAGATGTCTGTGATAAATGGGAAAAGCTGCAGAAGTGAATGTACTGAATTTTCACTTTTGTTAAAAGGAAACTACAAATTGAAGCACACATCCACTTACGTGGGCACAGAAAGAGGTCTAAAAACATATACCCTAAAAAGTGTTAACATTGGTTATATCTAGGAAGAAGATGGAGTGAGAAAGAAGAAAAGCTCTTTTTAAATTGTGTATACTTTAAAAAAATTTTTTTTAATGTTTAAAAATTTTGTATATATTGAAATCTTTAAGAGGATTCAGTCTGTACACCCCATTTCTTTTCTTTCAGGGAAGCAAGAAGTTGAAGGTCATTTTTTGGACGGTGTTTGGGGGAGTGGAGCAGGCAGGCAATGAGAGAGAGGAAGAAAGAGAGTGCTGGCCTGGAGAAAGTCCCGTCCGATATTTCACTCTCATGGTGTAGTGAGAATAGTTGAGATCTGTACCAGTTACAGCTCCAGCCCAGACCCCTAAGAAAGGATAAACCTAGAATCCTCTCATAATCCCCAAATCCCCTCTGAACAGCTACAGAGATCCAGACTGGACAACAGGCCGAGGAGTGAAGGCTAGAGGTATTAACCTCCAATCAACCTCCAATTCTCTTACCTCATCATCAGGATCAGGATAAGGTCTCTTACAAATGCAGTACAATCCAAAAAAGTTGTCATTGTATTTATTGCCAGAATTTATCTTTGCTTTGTCCTGAAAGAGATTAATTGCAATATATAACATGGTCTGATTTTAACTATAATCTCAGGCATCATAAAAGTATAAATTATCATAAATTTCATACAAATATCATATATATGACATTCTATTTATAATACATCATCAGTGTAATATAAGATATAATAAATAACATAAATACAATGAAATATAAATATCGTAAATTTCCTGTTGCATGAAGTCAATGCATTCAATTTCTACATTAAATATCTTCCTCCCCAAAGGTTGGTCTTTAACTTTCAAAGTTCAAAGAAAAAGAATTCACTCCTATTAAAAGGATACTTTTCCTAGGATACAGAGAATAAATAAATTTTTTTGTACCTTCTCTGTAGTAATTGGGGGAAACCAAATATGTCCACAACAAAATGCTGATAAAAGTTAATTATAAATATTAATGATCGACCTATGTAAATGAACATTGGCCTAGAATTTCGAAGTACTTCTTAATGCCCAGCTGTGATTGCCAAAGCTCCCAGGTTACGAGACGGTAAAAGGCAGGCAAGGAAATTGTCTAAAAATAACCTTCAAAGGAGGGAAATAGCAATTATGACTGAACAATGTAAAATCCCTTACTTTCTACTTAATTTCGGTTACTTCAGTAAACGTTACTGTGTAAGTATAGTTATTAGCCAAAAAGTAGTGAAAAACTCCTGTGTTCATCTAGCTCACATTCATTATTACCAAGTTTTTTATTGTTTTTAAAGTCATACCATTTGCTTTAAAAGCCTTAAACCATGAGCACAACCAACATAATCAAACCTGAATTACTTTAAAGAATATCCCCACCAAAATCTTTCATATTAATTACAATCTGTAATGTAGGGTCTGAACAGGTTAGTTTTCCAACAAAATAAAAAATAGAATACAGTCCAGGGGCGCCTGGGTGGCTCAGTCGTTAAGTGTCTGCCTTCGGCTCAGGTCATGATCCCAGGGTCCTAGGATCAAGCCTCACATCAGGCTCCCTGCTCAGCGGCAAGCCTGCTTCTCCCTCTCCCATTCCCCTGCTTGTGTTCCCTCTCTCGCTGTGTCTCTCTCTGTCAAATAAATAAATAAAATCTTAAAAAAAAAAAAAGAATACAGTCTAATACTGATTTGCCTATTTGCAAAGAATAAGCATAAGAACTTCTTTTTTGGAACATGTATAGTTTTTATCCACTCTGGCAAATATCAGTCTCAGCTATTTTCTTTTTTTTTTTTAAAGATTTTATTTGTTTATTTGACAGAGAGAGAGAGAGAGAGAGAGAGAAGGAACACAAGCAGGGGGAGTGGGAGAGGGAGAAGCAGGCTTCCTGCTGAGCAGGGAGCCCGATTCAGGGCTCGATCCCAGGACCCTGGAATCATGACCTGAGCCGAAGGCAGACGCTTAACAACTGAGCCACCCAGGCGCCCCAATCTCAGCTATTTTCAATGCATTTTTAGTTACAGTGCATACTTACAGGAAATAATTTGCATTCCAAATTTTTAAACTTGCTGTTTCCACAATCACAACGAAAGTTTCTGGCAAAAATGAAGAAGAGCCGATTTTAATTTTTCTTTTAAATCTAATGAGTTACTCTTTAAATTAGTATCATAGCCCCTTCCCTTTCAATTCGTTTCTAGGATCTAAAAAGTGGCCTTGGTTGCTATTCCTGTAACCAAACTGAAATTTCTCCAAGCACATAACAATAAAATATTTACTAATTCTGAAAACTAACATGCACAGAGACAAATATTTATATCACACATACACAAACACACAAGTAAAATAATGGCAGAGAAGGAATGACTAGTTTTGAGTTTATACAATAATTTTATTTTAAAAGGCCCCTGGAAAAACTGTTCTCTCCAATTATATTATAGAAAACAATTACACTGAGTTTTACCAGTGCACAACCACTTTAAATAGAAAAACAAGAAAAACAGTGCAGGTGGGAAAGAATCCAAACATTTAAAAAGCATTCAGTGCCAATCTCTGTCTTTACCTTTTTGTGTATAGCTCAAATAGTTTATGACTTCCATGACATTCATAACTGCAAGCTAGGCAAATTCCTGCTGGTTCTTCTCCCTCTGGGGTGCAAGTACTACAGGCATATAGTGCTTGTCTCTTTACTGAGCCCTAAAAGACAGCCCCAAAATGGAAAGAGAGAATAATTACACAAGAGAGTACCAAAACACCATTGCATTTTCAAATCGCTGTATGTGTCCTACAGTAGTGCTCATTTTCATACAATTTTTTCTTAAAATGATAGTTTTAAATTCCCAGCCAGCTGAAAATAAGAATAAGCTGGCCTGCATCAACATTTTAACACATGAAAATATAGGAGAATGTGTATAGGTTTATGTTAGCAATATCACACTTACAATTCTGGAAAATACTTGTGACTCCACCAAAGAGAAAAATCAACGCATTAAAAGAATCCTTTTGATTTTAGGAGATGCATGCTGAAATATTTAGAGCTTCATGATGTCTGCAACTTATTTTCAAATGATTCAGGGAGTAAAGCGTATTATATAGAGAAGAGAGATAAAACAAACGTGGCAAAAAATGAATACATGTAAGAAGTACACAGCTGTTCACAATATTATTCTTTCAACTTATCTGTAGATTTAAAATTTTTCAAAATTAAAAGTTGAAAGAGAAACAGGCAAAACTTAGAGACCTTGAGAGTGGTTACCCTCCTCTAGAAAGGAGGGAGACAGAGAAGCTTCTGGGATGCCTGTAATGTTCAATTTCTTGATCTGGGGGGGGGCGGGAGGTAGTAGTCACATACATATGTTCACTTTTTTCGCCAAGCCATAGACATGACTTGTGTGATTTTCCACATATTTTACTACAGTAAAAAGAAAACTTTTAGGAAGTCCATTTTATAAAGCTAACTACATTTCAAGAAAAGCTTACACACACTTTTTTTTTTTTTTTTTTAAGGAAAGCAAAGAAAAAGGTGTTTTAGTGGTGACCAAAGGTTTTAAAATACCGGCCAACATCTGGGACTATCTGCAGATACCAGGTTAATTCAACAGTCTAACCACTGTGCAGGATAAACTCAACCGGTCAACAATGACAACTGGTATTATGAGCTCAGTCCGCACCACATAATGGCCCCAAGTCTCTCACCTCATCCCCCAATGTTCCACGCATCCCCCAGAGTCTAAGTAACCTTCTTCCTACCAATTCTCATCCCGTGTAGTTTCCTTCTACCCAACTTGCTCCATTTTTGTATCTAGAAATACAGGATGAGTCACCAAACACTACAACGCACCCCCTCAAATCCTGATTCATAACGTCTTCCAAATGCCAAATTTACCCTTCAAGCAAATCCTCTCCTCTCCTCCCCTCCTTTGCCAGTGCCACCTGCTGTCGTGGTTCCGGTCTATTCCCACGGGGGGCGGGGAGGGGGGACGACTGCAGATAGACACTGTACTTGCTTCGTCTCGCCAAAAAAAACTACAAGCTAGCACTTGTCAAACTAAATTGTAGAGGATTAGCTGTCAAGGATCCCAGCCCAGGGGGAGATTTTCAAACCCAGAGCTCTCTCCTTTAACTCTGCTTTGACTCTCCCATTAGGTTCCTAATAAACACTCTTAGGATGGGAAAAGTAAAGACAAAGATGTCGGTATCTAAGAGGTCACGGGGACAGTTTCTGAAAAGCAGCCGAGGCACCGAGGAGAGACGGGAGAGGAAGGAAAGAGCAGGGGCCCCAGGGCCAAAGCCTGGAGAATCCTGAGAGACGGGACGAAGGAAGACCGAGGAAGGAGGGGGGCCCTGCTGGCTACAGGCTAAGAAGGAGGACCCAGGAGGCTGAGGTTTAAGAGCAGCTGGGCCTGGGACGGGGAAGCCTATCACGAACGGCGGCCCCGGACCACCAAGGGGGAGCCGGGCTACGCAGGCGGGAATAGGGCAAGTCAGGTCGGGTACCGGAGGTTCGGCGGGAGCCCGGGGCAGGCGAGGCCCGGGCCGCGCGCCCACCTGCGAGTAGGAGCACTTCTCGGAGTCGCTGCCGCCCAGTACGGCGCACGCCTCGTTCTCCAGCTCCTCGTCCTCCTCTAGAACGTCGACCAACGATACCACGGGCTCCACCTCCGACTGCGGTCCAGCGGACCCCTCCGCCCCAGCCATCCTCAACTGTCAGCGGGACCGCGGCTCGGCCCGGCGGAGGCGGGAAAAGCGGCTGCGAGAGGCGTGGCCGGAGGAGGCGGGGCCCAGTGCTAAGAACCAATCCCAAAGAAGGGAAGAGAAGGAAGGAGGAGGAGCGACTTCCGACAAACGGAAGTCACTCCTCTCCCTCCTCCCGCCTGCGCCGGCCTGCACCCGCCTGCGCCCGCCGCGTGCTGACTTCCGCTTCCGGGTGGCACTTCCCTGTCGCTCGCTATTGAAGCTCAGCGGTCGTCATGGAGTTGTTTGCCGAGTACGTCGGGGTGGATGGGCAGCAGGAGCAGCTGCGGGTGCCCTGTGAGGCGCCGAGCGACGCGGACCCTTTCGAGGGCCTGTTGTCTGGTGTGGCCCAGATGAGAGAGTTGGTGAACGAGCTCTTCGTCTCCCTGATACAGCAGGAAGCGCAAGACCAGGAGGTGGCGACTCCAGAAGAGGCCATGGACGGTGAGCCCTGAGAAGGTGCTGGAGCGACAGGAGGGCGGGGCAGGGGAGCCCGGGTAGAGTGGCCGACTTGGAGAAAGCTTCGGGGGGAAGAAGAATCCAGCTAAAAATTGTTGGCACTTACCGCCGTATTATCTGGGCTGCTTCTACTTAAGCGTTTTCACGACTCTCTTTCCATTTATATGACAGAAAACATGCTGAATGCCTAGTACTCTGTGCCAGGCACTGGGCTGTGCTCTTGAGAAAGAATGAGGTGAATGCCACTCAGTTCCTGGCCTTGTGGAACTCTCAGGCTGGTGGAGGTTAGACAAGCAAACACTTACTACAGACTGGAAGTACGACCTCAGGGCCCTCTGTAATTATTGCAAACTCAGAGGACCCGGGAAGGCTTCAGAGAGGGGGCATGACTTTTGAGCTGGGGGGGGTTGAAGGATGAAAATGAGTATTACCAGGGTTGACATTACAAACATGTTAGGAAGACTGCCATCTATCGCCGAATAGGTTCTGAAGATTTCGGTTTAAGGAGTCCTAACTCCCGGGGACTCCTTTCCCATATCCCATTTTAGAAGATACAGTTTGAAAGGAGAAATATGAAATTCAAGTGAATACAAAAAGAGGTAGTACATTTTCTGCCCTGAGCTGAAGAACCTAAGAATTAAATATTGGGAGTCAGGACTTAACTCCTTTAAAGAGGGGCTTAATGGTACTGTACATTTTTTTTCCCCATCTTGTTTGTCCCAGATAATGTGAACTCAGACCGTTACTCTGAGTTCAGACAATAGATTGGTTCCATGAATGTTAACTGGGCGTTGCCACATAAGTTCAAAGTGAAGTCCTGTTTCTTGGCTCCAGAAATATTTCTCTAATCTGTTGAAAGTGTTATCATTGGAATAAGGATGAATATAGCTAGAACCATTTCTTAAAATATCATTACTTTTTGGAAAAATAACTGCCACCTGTTCTCTTAATGGCAGGTCAGTAATATCTTTGTATTGGAGGACATGTTTGTATATATTAAATGACGACCCCATAAAGCTTAGGTTTGAATTTCCTTTGTTAAAAGTAATGAGATTGAAATGGTGCATTTTGTGTTATATGAATTCTATCTCAACAAATGTACAAAATTTAAAAATTACTAAAGAAAAGTGATAGAACTCTAAAAAGTACTAAGTACTGAAATTGGATTACAAATAATTCGTTGTCAAATGTGCAAAGGATTTGAATAGACATTTCTCCAAATGAGATATACAAATGGTCAGTAAGCTCATGAAAAGATGTTCAGCATCATTGGCCATCAGAAAAATGCTAATGAAAACCACAATAAAATACCACTTCAAGCTCACTAGGATGACTGTAATTCAGAAAGAACAATAATAAGTGTTAGCTAGGATGTGAAGAAATTGGAGCCCTCATACATTGCTGGTGGAAATATGAAATGATATACCTTCTTTGGAAAACGGTTCAGCAGTTCCTCAAAAAGTTAAAGTTATCATATGACCCAGTAATTGCAGTTCTAGGATCTCCTCCTTCCATTCCTGGTTCTCCAAAGAGAACTGGAAACATACGTTCACATAAAAACTTACCCGTGAATGTTCATAGCAGCACTATTTTATAATCGCTAAAAAGTGGAAACAGCACAGAAGTCCATCACCTGATGAGTGGATAAATAAAATGTGGTGTATCCATCAATGGAATATTATTCAACGATAAAAAGGAATGAAGTACCAATAAACACTACAACATGAATGAACCTTAAAAACATGTTGAGTGAAAGAAGGCAGACAAGGCCACATATGTTATGATTCCATTTATATGAAATGTCGAGAATAGACGAATCTATGGAGATAAAAAGTAGATTAGAGGTGGCCAAGGGCTAAGGGGAATGGAAAGTGTTTGTTGATGGGTGCGGGATTTCTTTCCGGGATGATGAAAATGTTCTAAAATTAAATAGTAGTGACAGTTGCTCAACCTAGGGAATATACTATAAATCAAGAAATTGTAGAGTGAATTTTATGGTCTATGAATTATATCTCAAAAAAAAGTAATAAGATTTTAAACACCAAAATTCTTGAAATCTTTTTAACCATACATACTTTGAATCTGTTGTATGCATGATTTTATTAATTCTTAAAATTGAAATGATCTCATTATCAAGCATTTTAGCAATCTTATTTCTTTGAACCACTGAACATATTGTCATACAACAAATATTTATTTTAAAAGGTGATGATGAAGATGATGCAGAAGATGAAAATAACACTGATAATAGAACTAACTCAGATGGACCATCTGCAAAACGGCCCAAACCGCCATCTTAACAGTTGCTTTTATGAAATTTTAAAGACTGCTACTATATCTGAATTATCACACAGTGACATTTAGGAAAGACTTGTGCTCTAATTTGGAAAAGTATTTGTTTTATTCCTCTAGGACAATTTTGTCAAAGAAAAAAATGTTTCTTCTGTTTCCAGCAAAGAAAGATAAAATAAATGTTTAGAAATGAATCTGTTTTCTTGAGTGAGAAATAAATTTCAGACCATGGAAATAAAATAGAACACTTAATGATGTATAAAATCCTCTAAGTTGGCAACTGAATTTTTATTGTTTTCTACTTTTTAAATAACCATTGAATTAAATTGTGTGATGTCTACACCTTTTGGCCTCTGCTTGTTATAAAAAATACATGTCAGTTCTTGGACAATAACATTTCAAAGAACCATGTGACATGAGCAAGTGGTGAAAATTGGATATTAAATTTTAAGAATGGCAGTTCTGTGTAAGGGAAAACGGGAAGAGAAGTACTGAAGGAGGGAGATGAGCCCTTGAGAGAGACCCAAAGAAACCTGGACTCTCCACTCACAACCAATATATAGACCCCCAGAGATACTGCTCAACAAATACATATTTAACTTGTACCTTAGGAGAACAAAGTTGAGGGTGCTTTTATGCTGTAGCATGTTATGTATATAAACACAAACGTAAGTCTTTAAGTAACTTAATCTGTGTTGACTGTAACTTAAGGTATTTCTTCTCATCCATGCTTTGATTTTGCTTACTGAAGTACTATTGAATCCTTTAAAATACATATATATTCCTAAAATGTGTGTGTGTATTCCTTTCTGCTTGTCAGTGGGACAAACACATTTTTTATTTACTATGCATGTTTCCTGATTCATTTACATAGCTAAAATGCAAAGAAATCAAGTAGCATGCATCTAAGGAAATACAAATAGTTACAGAATTTTAGAGTTAGAAGTAAACTTACAGATTATATGATTTCTTTCTGAGATGAATCTTAAAATAGGGTGTTTGCCCTGAATTTGAGCTAAGAATTGGCAGAGCTGGGTTGTACAAATACCCTTTAAAAAATTACAAAAAGAAAAAGATTATCGTAATACTTCCCCAGTTACATTCTGAAATCAGTAGCTTACAAAGTACATGCTATTAAGGAAACTGAGTTTAGATACCTTTTCGTATCTTTAAAGTATTGTTTTACTTGGAACATCAGTCTTCCACTTAAGTGCATTTTTGTAATCAAAGCAATACCAAATAGAAAAAAAAATAGCAACTAGAAAATGTTTTCGTTTTTTTGTTGTTTTGGGTTTTTTTTAAAGATTTTATTTATTTGAGAGAGAGAGGGCAAGAGACAGCACGAGGAGGGTAAGGGGCAGAGGGAGAAGCAGACTCCCTGCTGAGCAGGGAGCCCTATGTGGGGCTTGATCCTAGGACCCCAGGATCATGACCTGAGCTGAAGGCAGACGCTTAACTGACTGAGCCACCCAGGTGCCCCTAGAAAATGTTTTATAAATAGTCAGAAATTTCCTTGTTTAGTTTGTGATAATGTCTCTAATGTTGGCACCCTGACTCAGTTATTGACTTACAATCTTTTTCTTCATACAGTCTTTAAAAAAAAAAAACTTACCAGCATAGTTAAAATAGTTCATATATTTTTTAATTTTTTTCTTTTTTAAAGTTTATTATTTTGGGGCACCTGGGTGGCTCAGTTAGTTAAGTGTCTGCCTTCGGCTCAGGTCATGATCCCAGGGTCCTGGGATTGAGCCCCGCATCGGGCTCCCTGCTCCACGGGAAGCCTGCTTCTCCCTCTCCCCTCCCCCTGCTTGTGTTCTCTCTCTCGCTGTCTCTCTCTCTCTGTCAAATAAATAAAATCTTTTTTTTTAAAGTTTATTTAATTTTTTTAGTAACCTCCACATACAACAGGGCGCTCAAACTCATGACCCTGAATTCAATAGTCGCATGATCTTCTAACTCATCCAGGTGCCCCTAAAATAGTTCATATTTTTAAAGCAATAGCTGAGCTTTGCTCCTGAATATTTTGTTTCCTTCTTTGTTTGGTAAATATTTTTATAAAGAAGAAATTTCAAGATATTTGTGCTTTGTGGTCCAGTGTTTTGAGGTCTGGGTTATAGGTTTGATTGATCTTTTCCTTAATTTTAATACTGATTCTAACTAATACTGTCTCCTTCATAAATGTCCATTTGCAGACCCTAGTTAATTAAATAAAAATAGAACCTAAATGTCCATTCTCAAGACCCTAGTCAATTAAATAAAAATAGAATATTAATACACTGATTTTACACAGTCCTTTAAAAAGACCGAACTGTAGAGTGCCTCGGTGGCTCAGTTGGTTAAGCGACTGCCTTCAGCTCAGGTCATGATCCTGGAGTCCCGGGATAAAGGCCCACATCGGGCTCCCTGCTCAGCAGAGGGTCTGCTTCTCCCTCTGACACTCTTCCCCCTATTGCTCTCTCTCATTCTGTCTCTCAAATAAATAAATAAAATTTTTAAAAAATAAAAGACCGAAGTGTAGCTCTATATGTTAAAGGCCAATCTCTAGGATATATTGTTAAATGAAAACTAGCAAGATACAGAACAGTGTGTAGAATGCTACTATTGGAGAATATTGGCTAGATACACGTGGTATCTAAAAGGATAGAATGCTGCTGAGCAGGAGTTGGGTTGGGAATAAGAGATTTTTCACTGTACACTCTTGTTCTTTGCATTTTTAAAAAACGTATTTTATATTTTTCTACACAAATACAGAAAAAGTTACTGTTCCTCAAAAGTTATTGAAACTGTCAAAAAAATTTTTTTTTTAAAGTAAGCTTTAGGGGCGCCTGGGTGGCTCAGTCATTAAGCGTCTGCCTTCGGCTCAAGTCATGATCCCAGGATCCTGGGATCGAGCCCCGCATCGGGCTCCCTGCTCCGCGGGGAGCCTGCTTCTCCCTCCCCACTCCCCCTGCTTGTGTTCCCTCTCTCACTGTGTCTCTCTGTGTCAAATGAAATCTTTAAAAATAAATAAGTAAGTAAGCTTTATACCCAACATGGGGCTTAAACTCATGACCCGGATATCAAGAGTCACATGCTCTACTGACTGAGCCAGGCAGGAGCCTCAATTTTTAATTTTAAAAAGTTATGCTTTAGAGGCACCTGGGTGGTTTAGTTGTTAAGCGTCTGCCTTCGGCTCAGGTCATGATCCTAGGGTCCTGGGATGGAGTCCCACATCAGGCTCCCTGCTCAGCCGGGAGTCAGCTTCTCCCTCTCCCACTCCCCCTGCTTGTGTTCTCTCTCTTGCTGTCTCTCTGTCAAAAAAATAAAAATCTCTAAAAAAAAAAAGGGGGGGTGGTGCCTGGGTGGCTCAGTCAGTTAAGTGTCTGACTCTTGATTCTGGCTCAGGTCATGATCTCAGGATCATAAGATTGAGCCCCAAGTCGGGCTCTGGGCTGGGCATGGAGCCTGCTTAAGATTCTCTTTTCCTCTCCCCGTCTTAAAAAAAAAAAAAAATCAGGGTGCCTGGGTAGCCCAGTCGGTTGAACACGTGACTCTTGATTTCGGCTCAGGTCATGATCTCAGGGTTGTGGGATGAGCCCTGTGTAGGGCTTCATGCTCAGTGCAGTCTGCTTGAGATTCTCCCACTCCCTCTGCCCCTCCCCCCACTTGTGCACATGCTCTCTCTCTCAAATAAATAAATAATCTTTTTAAAAAAATCCACATTTCCCATCTGACTACTACTTTGTCAGAAAAGGGAGCAGAACATGACCTCTAAAGAGGTTAGGAAACTGAGCTAACGGGAGTAGGACTCTGTAAAAAACACAGTGTTTCTAAAACCGATGTGCCTAGCTTTAACCTTGAAAAAGATGCCCTCTAGCCAGTGCATCATTCGCAAAGTATAAAATGAATTTCACAGTGTTGCCGTAACTATTCCAGTTCTCAGGTGACCTTTGGGATCAGAATTGCTCTATTTAAAGACATGGCCCAGGGAACAGTGAATGCTAGAATGTAAGCTTCTATTTAAATCTTTTAAAAAGTAGCAGCTCACATTGGGGCAGCAACAAGGCCATTGGGGTACAGTTTTAAATAGAAATTTACTCCAATGCAAAAAGAAAAACAATTTACTCCAGTGCCAAAAAATCTGCTGGAGATAGAACTTCTAAAAACACATTACCACTTTATTTTTTTTTTTTAAGATTTTTTATTTATTTATTTGACAGAGACAGAGCGAGAGAGGGAACACAAGTAGGGGGAGTGGGAGAGGGAGAAGCAGGCTTCCTGCCGAGCAGGGAGCCCGATGTCGGGCTCGATCCCAGGGTCGAAGGCAGGCGCTTAACAACTGAGCCACCCAGGTGCCCCCATATTAGCATTTTAAATGAGCGATTTACAGGACCAATAAACTCCAGAGTACTGCAATTGTGTGCTGTAGCTCAAAGAGATTGGCATGACACTTGATGCATATGTTAGGTGGTTTAGGAAACTGTTATCTTAATGATTGTAACTTGAGAACTGCTCGAGGCTCTAATCACCCCTTCAAACCTTGTTTTGAGTGTGGTTTATGGTTTTTTTCTGCATGTACAAGGAACATCCCTAGATAACCAACATCACAACCGTTGGCAAAAATAAATGGACTCATTTTAAATCTTGGCCTCAGAAAGAATATATCACTACATGCTGAAACCTGAGAAAGCTTAACCACTAAACTTATCTCGAACATGTGACAGATTAGACTTTGCACTTAGTAGAAAATGTTAACTTTAACCTTTATTTTCTCTGGAGAGCAAACTAGATTGTTTTGCAGTCTAATGAAAGAGGTATTCAGTGGCAGTAAAAATCACTCATGCAATAAAAAATTATGAGCACCTACTGTGTGCCAGGCACTGTTCTAAGCACGGGGTATACAACAGTGAACAGACAAAATCCCTGCCCTCATGATGGAGTTTAGATTCTGACAAAATGTGTAACATGTCGTGTGATGTTGAGTGCTGTGGAGAAAAACAGGGAAGGAGGATACTAAATTTTAAATAGGCCGGTCAGAGGCAGCCTTACAAAGCTGAAAATTGAGCAAGGGTCTGAAGATGGTGGTAAGAGCAGGCCAGGGCTGAGCATCCAGACAGAAGGTACACTGAGTGCATAAGCCCTGAAACAGGTTTTTCTGGCATATTCTAGAATCAGCAGGAAGATCAGTGTGGCTAGAGTGGAATGAGGGGTGGAGAGAATAGTAGAAAATGAAGAAAATGGTCAAGGGCCACTTTATTAGGACTAGCCATGTTAAGAACTTTGAGTTTTATTCTCGGTAGGGAAGCTATAGGAGGGTTTTTGAGAGAAGTACCATTTTAAAAGAATCTCTTGCCACTTGTTTGATAAGACTTACAGGGGCCTTGAGCAGATTTTGGCGGGTAGAGAGATGAAGAGCTTGATTTTGGACAGGTTAAATCTCAGATGCCTGGTAAGACATCTTAGTAAATGCCAAATAGGCAGTTGAATATCCAAGTCTGGAGCTCAGGAGATATGCAGGGTAGTAATATAAATTTGAGCACTTAAAGCCATGAACCAGGGGCGCCTGGGTGGCTCAGTTGGTTAAGCGACTGCCTTCGGCTCAGGTCATGATCCTGGAGTCCCAGGATCGTGTCCCGCATCGGGCTCCCTGCTCAGCAGGGAGTCTGCTTCTCCCTCTGACCTTCCCCCCTCTCATGTACTCTCTCTCTCTCATTCTCTCTCTCAAATAAATAAATAAAATCTTTAAAGCCATGAACCAGGATAGGATGACCAAGGGGAGCAAGTATAGAAATGAGAACTGGGGGATGTCAACATTCAGAAACTGGGCAGAGCCCCAGGGAGCAAAGAGCAAAGGAGACAGGAGAAGTTGATGAGGAAGAAGGCAAACCAGGAAGTGTCTAGAACTGGGGTAAAATCTGGTGGCTGCTAGCCACATGTGGCTATTTGAACTAATTAAAATTTAAAATTCAGTTCCTGTCACACTAGCTACATTTCAAGGGCTCATTTCATGTGGCTAATGGCTACTGATTTGGACAGTAAAGATAGATACAAAATATTTCCATCATCACTAAAGCTCTATTGGGCAGTACTGATCCAGAAACCAGCTGAAGAAAGTATCTCAAGGACAAGGGGTGTGTCAAAAACTGCTAGATGAGTAATTTAAGGGCTGAGTCTTGACCATTGGGTTTAGTTATGTGTAAGTGACCAGTGACCTCTTGACAAGAGAGTTTTGGTAGAGTGGGAGGCAAAACCCTGATACAAGTGTGTTCACAATAATCTGGAGGAGAGGAACTACAACCAGAAAATACACCTTGTTCCTGAACTTGGGCTCCGGCAGGCAGCCGCCTACAGTCTACTCTGTATGGTCACGTTCACGCTGACACTGCACCTGGAGTGGAGGGCCTGATAGGCCCAGCGTAGGGCTCCTGGTGCTGCTTGCCCAGATCATCTCAAGCTACCATAGGAACAGCTCAGGACCATGGATATCACCTTTGGACTCACCTGCTTTGTTTTTCCAGCCACGGGGCTGGGTCTTGTCACATTTGGAGAACTACAGGAAGCAGGAGTGAAGGGGACTGTCCTCTCCTTCACCTTGTGACCTGACCATGCTCTGTCTGTCCTGATCATGTCTGTTGAATTCCTAGCTGGCCTCCCTTGGATCATGGCCTTCAGTAACAGTGACCTCTTATACAATCATGACCTGATTTCAACATGGTGACATTCTGGGACCACATGTATCAGTTTATAAGGCCCAGCTCTGTACAGCCCCAACTTGTAGCAATAGAGTCTATCTAAGCCTTGAAAAATTTAAAGAAAATATAGACACCTCTTTAAAGATTTGCAATTCAGGGAGCCTGGGTGGCTCAGTTGGTTAAGCTACTGCCTTCAGCTCAGGTCATGATCCTGGAGTCCCGGGATCGAGTCCCGCATCAGGCTCCCTGCTCAGCAGGGAGTCTGCTTCTCCCTCCGACTTCCCTGACTTACCCCTCTCGTGCTATCTCATTCTCTCTCCCAAATAAATAAATAAAATCTTTAAAAAAAAAAAAAAGATTTGCAATTCAAATAGCTGGGGTGAACTTGCCGCAAAATACTTGAAGCTGCTCCAAAGACAGATACATCTAAGATAACGGACAGTTGAGTCTTTATGCGGCATAAAAACCCATGGTCCAGTGATTCTCCACGAATGATTCCAATACAATCATGTGAAGAGCTCTAAAAACACAGTTGCCTCTTCTCTCCCAGAGAGTGACAAAACTGGGCAGGGACCTTGGCATTGTTTATGTGAGGAGTTTTGCTTTGTTTCTTGTTTATTTCTTTGGATGATTCTAATATACAAAACCCATTCACTGTCTTAGACCAAAACAAAAATACTACTGCAGGATTCCCAATCATGGTCCAGAATTTTCTGGAACTTTATAAATAGGTTAGAGAATTGATTAAGTGATGGCATACACTTGATGCAAAATAAGTCACGCAGTATTGTGGTAAAGCTTTCTGTTTTGGAGATTGAGATTGTTAAATCCATCAAGAAGGAAATCAACACTAGATAATCTTAATAAAAACTGTAACACTACCCATGGTGAACAGACATCCCAGACTGATTAGTTTATGGGTGTGGTTACTGCCATAGAAATGTTCTGATGATTCCACCTCCCCAATGAAAAGTTATTTTTAATTAATTATAAAAGCTTTGAAATAGATTCAAATTCTAAACTTAGGAAATCACATTTTTTACTTTAAAACTGAAAGCATCTAGGGGCACGTGGGGGGCTCAGTCGGTGGAGCATCTGACTCTTGATTTCAGCTCAGGTCCTGATCTCAGGGTGGTGAGATCGGGCCCATCGGGCTCAGTGTGGAGTCTGCTTGAGATTCTCTCTCTCCCTCTCCCCTCCCCCCCCTTTTTAAAAAATAAAAAAAATTAAATTAAAACAAAAACTGGTAGCATCTTTAAAACTAGAAAAGTTAAAAAAAAAAAACTAGAAAAGTTACATGGTGACTAAAGCTCCATGAATTAGATGTTTCTCCAATTTAATTATCTATTCTCTATCCTGGCACTTTCAAAAAAATAAAATATCTGGCATATTTCCATGAAAAACACACAACAGGTTTTACTTCATTTCAGATGTGGTTGCAAATACGGTGACTTATTAAGCAACTGGGGGGAAAAATTAAGCAACTAGGGGATATTAACTCTGTCTTTCTCATTTCTGGAAGCAGAGATTATTGACGAGTTATGAATACTAGGATACTTGTCCTTTCCCTACAACCCCTGAAGCACTTCCTATATTTGCCATCTATCTAATCCTGTACTCACTGCTTACTGTACTGTGATGTAAATATGAAATAACTTGATATGATACACAGGTTTCCTCTCCATCAGCTTAACCTCCCCCTCAATCTAACAGATTAATTTCACCTTTCCCTCTCCTCTACAAAGAGGGCTTTGAACTATTAAATAGCCATAGACAAAATAGGAATAATTTACAACTTGGGTAATTCCTAAATAATCAAAAAACATTAACCCTGCAATCTGAAACTTAGTAATTACATTTGGAAGTACTGAATTACTCCCACTCTATTTTAATATTTCTACTACCAAGGCAATCTGGTCTTGAAAGATAGAGATGGACCGAATACTTACCAAATCCCCAAATACTAGAATTTGAAATATAAAAGATAAAGTCTACTTCAATAAAAAGGAATTACTACTTTATAAGACAAGTGATAAACTCACAAACCTTGCATTATATCATTTATAAAATGAAAAAAATTGAAATACTTTTCTTAAATCATTTTCAAACTACCACTGCCTCAAGACTAATCAAATCAAACTGCTCAATGATTTTCCTCATATTATCCTTTTTTCTGAAAAGCAGTATAACGAGGTGATAGAGCTGGAGATCCGAAGCCAGACATCCTAAGTTCAAATCCTGACTTCTCCACGTCCTTGCTGTGGGACCACGGGCCAGTTATTAATTCCTATGCTTCCTTTCTGTAAAATGGCACTAGTATCAGCACGTACCTGCCTCCTAGGCCTGTTGTGAAGAAAGATGGAAATCACTCAAAAAACAGTGACTGTAGTGTGCATACTATTAGTTAAGTACTCAAAAGATGCCAAGTGATTTGGTTATCTGACCCTCACAGAAACGGGTATTTCAGACTGCTGCCTACTTTGGAGAGTCAGTGTATTGTACCAAAAGCTCTCTCATTTCAGTCACCAGACCTCTGGAAGAAGTAAAGGGAAAGTGAGATTGATTACCTGGAGAAGGATCCGATCATGCTGCTTCTGAGTTACAAAGGTACCTGCTCTATCTTTCAAGTAAAGCTTGCTGTGGAATGTTTAGCCTTCCATTCTGGTCAAATCAGACTTGAACGCTGAGGTTGTTAGAACACTTTTAGATTTTCAGTAGCTCATACGAATTGAGAAAAACCTTTCAATAATGCCCTTCCCATTCTTTGGCATGGCTAGGCAGACAATACCGTGAAACATGTCATTTGTGAGAAGCACTACAGGTCAGTGGTTAGGAACAAAGGCATCAGATGCCTGGTCATACCTCTCGCACTGCTGCTTACCTACCAGGTGTGTGACCTTAACAGGCAAGTTACTTAACTTCTCTACCTCAGTGGCTTTATCTGTAAAATCTGGGTAATTGTTCTCTTAGGGTTGTTGAGAGGATTAAATGAGTTAATTCATGTAAACCTCTTAGAACAGAGCCCAACAGAATAAGCACCAAAAAAGGTTATGGTTATTATTAAAATCTATCAGTGTAATGTCCTTGGTATTAATGGCACAACTGTATAAAAACAGATCTTGATCCCACCCAGAAAAAAAGGAAAAAAAATCCTAAAATCTGATATTTCCGTGTTTTAGTCATTTGTATTGGTACCAGACATGAGGTAGTAAGTACAAACGCAAAGGAGGAAGTACAAAGATCACATCTTCATGCAATTCACCTGTTGCCTGAAGACCTGAAGGCTGGACCTTAGGCCAGAAAAGAAAATCGAAGGATGACGACTTGGTAGTATTTTAGAGGGGTGTCACACATCTGACAGGGACCAGACTAAATATTTTCACTCAACACCTCGTTTCCATCGTCTGTGTGTAAGATTTCTCAACTTTCAAACATTTAGTTTCTTCCCAAGTAATTTTTTAAAAACTAGTAGCGGTAATATCGCTGATAATGCCAGTAGCATCACCAAAAGGAAGCACAAACTTTGCTTATCAAGATAGCCATCACCTCTGGAATTTTATACCAATTTCTCACAAACTGATAGCAAGCAAGCATAAATAGTTGACTTAGTTACAACAGGTTGAACTGGTGTTTTAGTTTGAAGAATTTTAAAGCAAGCCAAGTAATTGTATAAAATTTAAATTTTATGACCATGTTTGGACCTTTTTACATTAAGCACAATGGAAATGTTCATATTCATTTTTTCCCCAAAGGAAAAATTTCTGAATCATCACTATGTTGCACAGTAGAATAAAAATAGGAGTTCAGGTACTTATTCAAGTTTCTAAAGAATGCAAATAACAGACACGATTTTACTTCCAAAATCTGAAGTCATCAACATGATTTTGTAGTACTGTATCTCAGGCTTCACTTAAAAATTCATTGTTATTCAGACAAAGATAGCCCCCTAGTCACACTTTTTAGAAAGCCTCTGCGCCACCACAACTTCCTGAGATCTGTGAACAAACTGCAGTCTTGTGATCAGGCTCCATATAGTACTGGCAGTTTTGTAACTGTAAGGAAAAACTGGTGACCGATTTTAGGTGTCAATCAGTTGTAGTCTGCTGATCTGATTAGAAGCCTTGACAAATGCCTGGTGGCGATTGCAAATAACTGCCAAGCATATGGGGATAATACAGTAGCCCACCGTTTTGGGGTCAGCTCTTGTACAAGAATAAAGGAACAAAAACATCTGTAAATAAGGTATCAGAAAAATAACTGTCCAAAACCAAAAAGGCAGGGAGAGTAAACGAGCTTTCAAGGAGTGTGTCCATGTGGTTCCTTCAAGGGGCTCTTCCGGGTGCTGCTGAATGTGTTCCAAGGCCAGCCTGTTGTAAGTCTCATTGATTTCAAAAACATAGTAAAATGCTCCTGCGCTTGCTAACAAATACAATCCCACTCCAATCCATCCCATCCTCTGACGGAAGTTCATCATTCTCCATGCTCTGTGCCTTCAAATTAAAAAAGAAAAAAGTTAGGGTCTAGTAATGCTGTCATGGCAATGATTCCCCATCAAGGCATCTCAGGCTTGAAATAATTAAATTTGCATTTACTAAGAAATGTAAACAACGCACAGCTTGTTTTCTGCAATAGTTATGAGAAAGTAAAGTTTCAGTATATATTGAGAGTGCTTTTTATGTGAATCCCACAGAATAAATAAATCACTATACCCGCCTTAAATAGGTCCAGCACACCTTCCCTTGAGAAACTGGAATTAAACTGGTTTCCTAAGGAACACTTCACCTTTATAGTTCAAACAGTTTCTGACTTAACACTACTGTTTCGGACGTGAACACTCGATTCTACAAGTCAAAGCAATGTCGGAGCCCCCACGTTAAGACAGTAACTCTTAAACACTTACAATGGTCCCGAAAATCTTCCTGTTCCCACGGCAAGCGTTAAAGAGTCACTCAGTTCTGAATACTCGGGTGGTTTTGGCATTTCAGAGAAAGCCACCATAAGAGAAATCCCCGGGGTCACCGGCTGGGAGAAATGGGAGCGCGGCCAGCCTGGAGCACAAGCTAATTGTGATTAAGCACAGCGTGACTGCGGCCAGTCACGCGGCGGCCCGGCCCCTGTGGCTGCGGCCGGAGCCCCAGCCAGTGTCACCCGGCCGGGCCGGGAGGCTCCCCAGCCCCCCGGGCCTCCCCGGCAGCCGGCCCCGCCCCCCGCCGCGCTGCAGCGCCGGCGGCCGCGACCAGGGCTGCGCGGGCGGCGCCGGGCCCGGGCCTCTCCGCCTCGCAGCGCCGAGAGCCCAGTGCCGGGCAGCGGCCACCGGCCGAGCCTGCAGAGACGGGCAGCTCCCGGATCTCACCTTCCTGTCCCGTTTGGCCCGCCCGCCCGCCGTCCCGGATGCTGCCACAGTCGGGACTTCCGGCTCGGGCCGGAAGCGCGCGCGCTCCGCCCCGTCGTGACGCCAGGCCGTCTCCCGGCGCGCGCCCGGCGCCGCTCGGGTGGGGACGGGGACGGGGGCGGGGGCGCGGGCCCCGGCGTGTCCCTTCATGTGGGTGGCGGTCCGGGCATCTTCGGAGCCCCCGGGCCTGGCCCCCGGTGCCTCGCCGGGGACAGCAGCACGGGGACGGCGCGGGCCGCCATGCCCTGGTGGCGCCGAGGGCAGGAGAGGCCGGCCTCCCGCTGCGCCGGCGCGGGGCGCGGGCGCGGACGACTGGATAGCGGCGAGGGGCGCGCGGGGCCGCGGAGAGGGTGAGACGGCCGTTTGTCGCAGTGGGGCCGGCCGGAAGGTCGCCCGGGGCCGCGGGGCGTCTCGGGGCCTCTCGGGGCCGGGGTCACACACACCTGCCGCTAACCCGACTGCTTTGTCCCTGCAGGCCTCCGGTCGGGACGCTGACGGCACTCACCGGGGGGTGCCGCGGAGAAACGCCGTGCGTTGCGGCGGCACCGGTGCCCCGGCCCCATTAGAATTTAAATCTGTTGTTTGGGGCACCATGACGCTGAGGCTCTTAGAAGGCTGGTGCAGGGGGATGGACGTGAACCCTCGGAAAGCGCTGTTGGTTGCCCGCATCCCCCCGACCTGCACTGTGGCAGAAATCGGGGAGGCTCCGCGGGCAGGTTTGGCGCCGATGGGCGGGTGCAGACTGCTCGGGAGGATGTTCCGGCGGGATGAGAACAGGAATGTAGCCTTCGTGGGGCTGACTGAGGAGACGGCTCTTGCTCTAGTCCCTGAGGAGATCCCCGGAAAAGGGGGTGTCTGGAGAGTGATCTTTTAAGCCCCCAGACCTGAATAATGAATTTTTAAGCAGATTCAATGAATTCTTAGAGGGAGAGGGCACAACGTTGGGGGAGTTGACCAGAGCTCTTGGATATGGAAACGACCCTTTTGACCTAGGCCAGGATATGATCCCAGAAATACAGGCCCTATGTTGGCACAGGCATTAGAGGAGGCTCTTCGGCCCGCCCTGCGGTACGCGAAATACAAAAAGCTGAGAGTGTTCTCAGGCAGTGACCCTCCAGAACCAGAAGAATTTGAATCCTGGCTGTTTCATACTACTCAGATGATGAAGACTTGGCGGGTGCCACATGCAGAGAAAAGAAGACGCTTGCTAGAGAGCCTTAGAGGCCCGGCATTTGATGTTATTCGTGTCCTCAAGATAAACAATCCTTCATTACAGTCGCTGAATGCCTGCAGGCTCTTGAGCAGGTATTTGGGGTTATTGATAATCCTAGGGAATTGCAGATCAAGTATCTGACCACTTATCAGAAGGATGGAGAGAAATTGTCTGCTTATGTGCTGAGGTTGGAGCCTTTATTACAGAAACTGGTAGAGGAGCAGTTGAGAAAGATGTTGTGAATCAGGCCCGCCTAGACCAAATCTTGGCTGGAGCAGTCCACAGAACCCTTCGCAGGAAGCTTGCTCAGCCACAGGGCGGCCCATCCCCTCGCTTACTGCAGCTACTGGCTACTGGCGCTGATAAAGGACGAAGAGGCAGCTGAGGAGGAGGAGGCGGCGGCCCTTCTCTGGGCAGGACTAGAAGGGCATTTCTCCTGAATCTTAGGCAACCAGGAAGCAGAGCATGAAGGTAGAACAGTCAGTGTACTCGTGATAGACATTAATCAGTCCCTTCCTTGTGCTGCCGAGGAACTCATTCTGTACAGTTTTCTGTCTAAATCCTTCGTCATTTCTGTGCTATTAAATGTCTTCCAAATGTGTCACAGACTAGGACAGATGTAGTTCTACACTAGTATTTATATATTTAGATTTACTGCTGTGAATTTATCATACAAAATTGTACAGAGGGGCTATCACTACACACATATGGTGCTCTGAGAAATGTCAGCTTATGTGCTAACAGGTGCAAGGGTAGCCTGTCCGATGTGATGATGTATCATAGATGGTTTTTAGGTGTGTATTGCCCTGCATTTATTATGAAGATATGAGCAGTGGTTAAGATACTAAGTTATTTTCTCTCTGAATCACAATTTTACAGATTCTGCGCAGTCAAAACGAGGCAGGATCAAATGCTGAGGTTGATAAGTTTGCAGCTGTCACCTCTAACCCTGGGTTTCTGATATGTGACATCAGAACATCTGGTTCTGAATGTCATTTTAGTAGGTGTTATAAAATGATCTACGTGAACTTATAAAATAAAGGAATGCTAATACAATGACCTTTTTAAAATCTGTTTTATTTATATCAAGATTCCAAGAGAGATTTCATTTGAACAAAGGGTTCCAAAAGCATAAATCTGAAAAACACTGAGGTTACACAATCTTAGTCCCTTGGATATTTTCCTCTTAGTGTCCAAGGGATAGAGAGTAGTTTTCTTTTTCTTTTCTTTTCTTTTTTTTTAAAGATGTATTTATTTGTTTATTTGAGAGCGAGAAAGAGAGCAAGCATGAACAGGGGGAGAGGCAGAGGGAGAGAAGAGAATCTCAAGCAGTCACCTCGCCGAGCACAGAGCCCGATGTGGGGCTAGACCCCACAACCCTGAAATCATGACCTGAGCCGAAACCAAGAGTCAGATGCTCAACTGACCGAGCCATCCAGGTGCCCCTAGAGAGTGGTTTTCTAAGTGAGATTGCTGGAGGGATCTTCGACTGATGTAGGAGGGAATGAAACAAGATGGAACACAAGTTAGTCCAAAGAGTAGGTCCAAATGCATCAGTGTGTCGAATTTGGAGAGTGAAAGGGAAGAAATAAAAGTTGTATGCTTCTCCATGACAGACTGGACTAAATTAAAGTTTCCCCATGTATTTTCTCATTGAATCCTCATAAAAATCCTGCAATATAAGAAAACCCAGTTTCTCATTGTAGAAATGGGCACAGAAAAGTTAAAAAATACTTGTCCAAGGGGCGCCTGGGTGGCTCAGTCAGTTAAGCGTCTGCCTTCTGCTCAGGTCATGATCCCAGGGTCCTGGGATCGAGTCCCACTTTGGGCTCCTTGCTCAGCAGGAAGCCTGCTCCTCCCTCTGCTTGCAGCTCCCCCTGCTTGTGCAAGCTTGCTCTATCTCTCTCTGGCAAATAAATAAAATCTCAGGGCGCCTGGGTGGCTCAGATGGTTAAGCGTCTGCCTTTGGCTCAGGTCATGATCCCAGGGTCCTGGGATCGAGTCCTGCATCGGGCTCCCTGCTAGGCGGGGAGCCTGCTTCTCCCTCTGCCTCTGCCTCTCTCTCTCTCTCTCTCTGACTCTCATGAATAAATAAAACATTTAAAAATAAAATTAAAAAACAAAAACAAAAAACTTGCCCAAGGCAAAACAACTAGTAAGTGGCGAGTCCAGAATTCTGTCCTCTGCCCTACTGCAAGGCCCATATTCTTTCCATTGCCAAGAAAAAGAAACAATCATAAGGGTATGAGCACCCAACAGCCTCACAAGGGAAACACGGCAGATGTTAACCACATTTCATATATGTCTTGTATGCATTAGTGTAGAGTACGTTATTCTGAATTACTGCCAACTAGATATTATGAGAAGTGGGGAGTATAAGAACCTATAAGACCCAGGGGCAGCCAGGAGGGTGGGCATGGGTTAGTGACTTGGTCCCTAAAAAAACTCAGCATGAAGAAAGTTTGAAAATTGCTGAAAAGTAGGATAAAGTCTTCCTCTTTGATAAAAACATCCCAAAGAACCAAATTCAAAATATACATCATTGGTTTAGATTCAGAGGCAAAATAAAGTGTTCCTGTTAAGACTAAATGTCATGGTTTCATTCTTTATGAAGTCCTCCCACTGTGGGAAGCTAAATACAGATCAAGCCATCACGTTAAACACCTTAAATACATGTAATTTGTACTTGTCAATTATACCTCAATAGGGTGAGGAAAAAGAAGCTAAATACTAGATGGCATAGATACATTCAAAGGTGTTAACTGATCTTGTTGGTATGTGTAAGGTACTTTGTTACCTTAGTAGTGGGAAGTGGTTTACCTGCATTTTGCTAGTAAGCAGACACTGTGTGTGCACACATAGGTGTTAATACACATTGTACCTCTCCTGTGTGTGAAGCACTGAGCTGGAGGGTTTAGACTGTATCGTGTATGTATACACACACACACACACACATATTTAGGTTATAATACCTGCCATGGAGGTCTCTCCAGAGTTCATAATAACAGCTGATACCAAAGACTTGCCATGGGCACCACTGAACACATTTAGTCAAACAATACTGAGAGGTAAGGCCTTTTGTTTTCCCCATTTGCTTTCCCCATTTTGTGGATCAAACTGAGGCACGGAGAAGTTAAGCAACTTGCCCAGACTTTCCCAGCCAAGAAGTGGCAGGGTCAGGATTTATACTCAGGCCATCTATTTCCAGAGTCCTTGTCTATGCTGCCTGGTTAAAGTCTCACAGAAACCTGTAAGACACACCATGATTTCCCCTGTTTTACAGGGGAGAAGCTTCAGGCTCAGATTCAGCGCCGGGGAAGGGCACATAATCTGACTTCAGAGAGCTTTTCTTAAGGTGCTCTGACTTACACATCTGGTAAACACTACATAATTGTCAAATATGGCAGTTATGTTTACGAAACCATGGGAAGTAGTAAAAACATGTCCTTTAAAAGCTGTGTTTCAAAAACGTGAGCAACAAAACATGAAAATGCTCACGGGTTGTGTCAGGACGATGGGATCGTAAAGATATTTTCATTTTCAGGGTGCCCGGGTGGCTCAGTCGGTTAATCGTCTGCCTTCGGCTCAGGTTCTGATCCCGGGGTCCTGGGATCGAGCCCCATGTGGGCTCCCTGCTAGGCAGGAAGTCTGCTTCTCCCTCTCCCCCTGCTTGTGTTCTCTCTCTCTCACTCTCTCTCTGTTGAATAAATAAAAATCTTTTTAAAAAAAGATATTTTTGTTTTCTTTTGCTTCCTAAAAGTATTTTCTTTCTTTTTCTTTGGGTAAGCCCTACGCCCAATGTGAGGCTTGAACTCACGACCCCGAAATCAAGAGTCGCATGCTCTGCTGACTGAGCCAGACAGATGCCCCTAGAAGTGTTCTTTAAATGAAAAATAGGGCGCCTGGGTGGCTCAGCCTTTAAGCGTCTGCCTTCGGCTCAGGTCATGACCCCGGGGTCCTGGGATCGAGCCCTGCATCTGGCTCCCTGCTCTGCGGAAAGCTTGCTTCTCCCTCTTCCACTCCCCCTGCTTGTGTCCCCTCTCTCACTGTGTCTCTCTGTCAAAATAAATAAAATCTTTTAAAAAAAATAAATGAAAAATATACAAAGGAAGTGCTCAAAAAAACAAAAGGAGGTGAAATGTCAAAGGGAAAACAGGAACCAGCCTGAAAGAGCTCCCACTGGTGAAAGCTACAATTTGAACAAAACAAATAGCATTGCATTGGTTTATAACCCAAAGTATCAAATAAATACTCACAAGTTCATGCTGATATAAACACATGAGTGAGGGGCGCCTGGGTGGCTCAGTTGGTTAAACTGCTGCCTTCAGCTCAGCTCATGATCCCAGGGTCCTGGGATCGAGCCCCACATCGGGCTCCCTGCTCAGGCAGGAAGCCTGCTTCTCCCTCTGCCTGCCGCTCCCCCTGCTTGTGCTCTCTCCCTCTCTCTCTCTCGCTATCTCTCTCTGTGTGTCAAATAAATAAATAAAATCTTAAAAAAAAAATAAACACATGAGTGAATAAATAAATGTGGGAGGAGAGAACCTATTCCTATAAGGAAAACCAGGTTTTCCTTATGCAAGAATTTCAAATCATCCATGTGGGTGCTTTGCCTTCTGGAGGTGGAGTTTATTCCTTTCTCCCACTCAAGTGTGGGCTGAATTTAGGAACAGAGTAACAAAAGGGAGAAATAGTAACTTTTCCTCAGAGAAACCTGGCAAGTACTAGCTTGGCTAGTTAACATCAAGGTTAATGTCAGAGAATGCATAGCCCTGTCTAATGAGAAAAATACCAGATACGGGCGCCTGGGTGGCTCAATCAGTTAAGCATCTGCCTTCAGCTCAGGTCATGATCTCAGGGTTCTGGGTTCGGGTCCTGCATCGGGCTCTCTGCTCGGTGGGGAGTCTATTTCCCCCTCTCCCTGTGCCGCTCCCCCTGCTTGAGCTCTCTCACTCTCTCTGTCAAATAAATAAATAGTCTTAAAAAAAATACCAGATAAACCCAAATTGAAGACATTCTACAAAATACCTGACCAACACTCCTCAAAGCTGTCAAGATCATGAAGGATAAGGAAAGACAGGGAAACTGTCACAGACCAGAGGAGACTAAGGAATCATGGTAGCTAAATGGAATGTGGTATCCAGGAGGGGCTTTTGGAACAGATAAAGGACTTTAGTGGAAAAGTAAAATCCAAAAATAGTCTGGAGTTTAGTTAATAGTAATCTATCGATGTTGGTTTCTTGGAGGTGACAAATGTTCGGTGGTAATGGAAGATGTTAATGATAAGACGAAACTAGGTGACTATGTAGGAACTCCCTGTACTATCTTTGTAACTTTTCTGTAAGTCTCAACTATTCTGAAATAAAGTGTTCATCAAGAGGCACCTGGCTGGCTCAGTTGGAAGAGTGTGTGACGCTTGATATAGTGATTACTTAAATAAACT